CCTGAGATGATGGCACAATAGTGTACATTTGGGAAAGAGTAGCCTTTAGACCTCTCAACTTTGACTGAACCCCATGAAATCTCATGGCATTAAGTAATGGGCAAGGCCAGCCTCCTGCTCATTACCATCAATCCTCCAGCCCTCAGGAGGCTGATGAAACAGTATTGTTCTGTGTGGAATACCACTTGGAGGAAGCACTGTGGGTGGCAAGGGCACAAAATGTAAGTTTGGATGGGAGACGTCAATGTCCATCGCCAGAGTAGTTTGGCAGAACCACTGCTGAGTGATCTTGGCGAATCCTAAAGGACTTCGACTGGTCTGCAGCGGGTGGTGAGGGAACCAACAAGAGAGAAACATCTATTTGACCACATCCTCACCAATCTACCAGTTATAAACATGTCTTTCCATCTCAGCAGTAGACATGACTACCTCACAGTCCTCTTGGAGACAAGTTACTGTCTTCACACTGAGAATACCCTTCATTGCGTAGCAATACTACCATTCTAAATGGTATGAACTTCGAATAGAATTAACAACTCAACTCTGCATTTATGAGGTGCTGTGGGTCATTAGAATTTTTATCAACTACAACCTGTAACCTCCTCTCATCCCCTCTTTCTACCAGCAAGCTGGGTGATCAACCCTGGTATAGTGAAGAGTGCAGGATGACTCGCTAGGAGTGGAATTAGACATACCTAAAAATGAGGTGCCACCCTGGTGAAGCTACAACACAGGACAATTTGCATGCCAAACATTGGAAGAAGCATGCAATAGACATGGTAAGTGGTCCCACAACCAATGCCTAATCTGTGTAGTTTTATCACAACCAGTCATGAATGATGAAGACAACAACACAAGGGCAACAGATGCATGGGAACAACATCACCTGCAATTTGCCCTCCAAGCTACAGCACCATCCAGACGTGGAATATATCATCATTCCTTCAGTGTCTGTAGGTAAAATTCCTGGAACTCCCTCCCAAATCACTTTGTGGGTGTACCGACAGCAAATGGTTTGCAGCTCACGGCCACTTCTCAAGGGCAACTAAAAATGGGCAATAAATGCCAGCCCAGCCAACGATGCCCACATCCTATGAATTAATTTTTAAAAAACAACTCACTGGGGTGGACACCTCAAAAATGTCCTCGATGATGAGTGAGCCCAGCACATCAGTGCAAAAGACAAGGCTAACGTTCCTTCATCTATCTTCGACCAGAAATGTTGACTTAATGATCCTTCTTGATCTCCTCCGGATGTTCCCAGCGTCATAGTTGCCAGTGTTCAATCAATTCAATTCACTGCATGTGATATCAAGAGATAGCTGAAGGCACTAAATACTGCAAAGGCTGTGGACCCTGACAACATTCCAGCAATAGTACTGAGGAGTTGTGCTCCATAACTAGCGGTCCCCTTCAAGCTGTTCCAATTAGGCTGCAATGCTGGCATTACCCAACAATGTGGAGAATGCGCAAGGATGTCTTCTGCACATAAAAAAAGAGGACACAGCCAACTCGGCCAATTACTGCCCTATCAGTCTTCTTGATGATCAGCAAAGTGATGGAAGGAATTGTTGACTGTGCGATCAGATTGCACTTGCAAAGGAATAACCTGTTCAGTTTGTATTCCGCCAGGCCACTCGGCTTCTGACCTCTTTACTGCCTTGGCCTAGGGTCCAAATATGGACAAGAAAACTGAAGTGAGTGTGACTGCCCTTGACATTCATGGCGGTATTTGAAAGAGTATGACATCGAGGACCTAACAAAACTGGATTCAGATAGAATCTGATAGAATCTGAATCCAGTGCACTGGGGAGAGATTGGAGAGACAAAATCTGGAGAGATTGGTGTGACTGCAGCTGGAGGACTGTGTACAGTGCTGGTCACTATACTTATGGGCAGATGTTAACATGTTGAAAGCTGTTCAGAGAAAGTTTACTAGACCATTACTTGGAATGAGTGGATTGCTTTTTGAGGAAAGAATGGACAGGTTAGGCCTGTATCCTTTGGAGTTCAGAAGAGCCAGAGGTGACTTAATTGAAACATACAAGTTCCTGAGTGGACTTAACTATAAGGATATTGAAAGGATAGTTCATCTTATGGGTGGATCTAGAACTAGAGGTCGTAGTTTTAAAATATCCATTTTTAAAAAATGCATTTAAAACGGAGATGAGAGAACATTTTTCAGAGGGTTGTGGTTCTTTGGAATTCCCTTCCTTAACAGGCGGTGGATGCAAAGTCTTGCAGTATTTTAAGGCAGAGATCAATAGATTCTTGATTACCAAGAGAGATATTATCGGGGATATGCAGGAACGTAGAACTGAGAGTAAAATCAGATTAGCCATGATCTTATTGAATGGTGGGACATACTCGAAAGGCAAAATAATTTACTCATGTTCCCTGTTCATATATTTGTAATTTTCTGTACATTTGGGGAATATTCCAGAAGATCAGAAAATGGCAATTGCGACACCCTCACTTATGTAAATCCCATAACACTTCATGACTACATGTTGACTATCAGTGGAGCGTAATGTTTTATAAACTGTAATAATAGAAAATAATCACCAGGCTCTTGTACAGATCAATTAAGGGAGCTTGCACAAATTTGTAATAGGCACATCTAGCTTGACTAAGCTGTTTGAATTTTGTGATGAAGTGACAGAGTGGATTGATGAATGTAATGAACATTGTCAAATGCTTACTTAAAAACGAAGAGATAATGTTGCTCATTGAATAAGAGGGTCACTGTCAAATAGTAATGTTAGGTTAAGGACAGATAACAGCAGGCTGGTGTAAATGGTTTTTCTTCACATTGGAGGATGTTAAACAATAGTGCATTCCAAGGTTCGCTGTTGGAACCACTTTTTTTTTTGATATGCTTGAATGATGTAGATATTGGAATACGGAGTGAATTTTCAAATTTTGACAATAGTATTAAATTCAAAGACATGGCAAACTTTGGAGATAATACCAGTTGACTGCAAAAGGATATACAGTTGACTGCAAAAGGACATAGGTTAGCAGAATAGGCAGACAAGTGACTTATGGAATTTAATACATGTAATTTTGAGGAGATAGATTTTGGCAGAAGGAAATAGATAAAGCAATAAAGACTTTAATGGCACAGCTGTAAAGAGTTTACAGTGGCACACTCTTGGGGTCCGTATGCGTATATCCTTAAAGCATTGAGAGAGTCGTTAGCAAATTGTATGGGACCTTGAGATTCATAAATAGAGGTGCTGTGTATAAAAACAGGCAGTTGTACTAAACCAGTAGAAAGCTCTGATTGGAACCAGAACTAGAGTATTGCACCCAGTTCTTGTCACCACACTTTGAAGAAGGATTTGAGGTTGTAGACAAAATGTTCAGAATTGTTCCAAGGATGAGGATGTTTTGAGCTGCAAAGCTAAATTGGAGCAAAAATAATTGAAAGGAGATTTGATTGAATAATACATGATTATGACCGTTTTAGACGAGGTAGAAAAGCTGTCCCTTTAGCTGATGACTCAGACAATTTGATTAGATTTTAGATCACGTGGGATTGAGGGTGAGCTTGCCAGTTGGATACAAAATTGGCTTAATGGCTGGAGACTGAGAATGATAATGGAGGCTTGTTTTTAGGACTGAAGGCCTGTCAACAGTGGTGTTCCACAGAGATCGGCACTGTGTCCGCTTTTTAATGTCATTTATATAAATGATCGAGATGAGAATGAAGAAGGCGTGGTTAGTAAGTTTGCGGATGACACTAAAATTGGTGGTCTCGTGCTCAGTGAAGAAGATTATCTGAGATTACAAAGAGATCTTGATCAGTTGGGTCAATGGGCTGAAGAGTGGCAGGTGAAGTTTAATTTGGATAAATGCGAGGTATTGCATTTTGGTAAAACAAACAAGGGCAGGACTTGTACAATTAGAAGTAGGGCTGTGGTAGTGTAGTAGAACAGAGAGACCTAGGAGTTCAGTTACCTAATTCTTTGAAGTTTGCATCACATAAAGACAGGGTGGTTAAGAAGGTGTTTAGCACACTTGCTTTCATTGCTCAGACCTTTAAATACAGGAGCTGGGACGTCATGTTGAGGTTGTACTGGATGTTGGTGAGGCCTCTTCTGGAGTACTGTGTCCAACTGATTCTGGTCACACTGTTTCGGAAGGATATTATTAAACTGGAGAGGGTTCAGAAGAGATTTACCAAGATACTGCCAGGCATAGAGGGTTTGAGTTATAATCAGAGGTTGGATAGGCTGGGACATTTTTCCACTGAAACGTTGGAGATTGAGGGGTGACATTAGAAGTTTATAAAATCATAAGAGGTGTGAATGAGGTTAGTGGCAGGTGTTTTTTCCCCAGTTGAATAGTTTTAAGACTCGGGTGGCATATTTTTGAAGTGAGAGAAGAAAGATTTAAAAAAAGACATGAGGGGCAATTTTTTACACAGCGTAGTTCATGTGTGGAATGAAGTTCCAGAGGAAGTGGTGGATGCGGGTACAGTTACAATGGTCAAAATTCATTTGGATGAGTACATGAATTAGGAATGTTTGGAGGGATATGTGCTAAGTGCAGGTGGGGGAGACTAGTTTAGTTAGGTCCAACCAGTCCATGCTGAACATAATCCCAAAGGGTCTGTTTCTGTGCTGTATGACTCAGTGACTCTAGATACGTTTTGTAGCTAAGAGGCAAGAAATGCAGAAGAGTGACGAAGAAGAATTTTTTTTACATAAGTGGTCATAACTTTGAAGTCACTGCTTAGGAGGCTGACGAAAGCAGAAGTGATTAGTGACCTAAATGGAAATTGGGTGGGTATTTGAGAGTAATAAATTTTCAGGGCAATAGGGATATAATAAAGGAATTGGAGTGATAGGATTGCTGTACAGAGAGTTGTATGGACATGATCAAATGAATGGTTTGCTGTGCTGTAATGTCTCTAAGATAATGCCTAAAAATTGTTTTCCTAACTTGCACAGAATATTGAAACTGGATCAAAAAGCATGTTATCAAAAGATTACCTTAAAAGCATTGCGTTTAATTCCATTGCTTTTAATACGGTTGTGTTGTGCAGCAAGAGTTCTGAGTTTTGGAGGCAAGGCAGGCAGACGGAGCAGTTTATTTTCAGAAAGCGTCAGGTGCTCCAGATTTGGCAGCTGTGAGAACGCTTTATCTTCTATTTCAGTAATCAAGTTTCCAGTCAAATCGATCCTCCTCAGAGTTGCTTTATTTAGGATTGAACAGACAGTTACATTATTTATTGGTATCTGTCAGTCGTACTCTGCTCAGCAGGATTGTTTTTCCTAAAAGAATAAGCTTCTGACACAACAATATAAGGCACAGTGGGTTTGGTCTGTACTTTGCCAAAAACTGAGTATGAGTTGTTGGCCTAGGAAGGTGCATTTATAACAAGGCCAAACAAGGTGAGTATCAACCCGCAAATCCTTGCAATATGTACGTACCCATGATAGTGGGTAAGAGTATGAGTGATTCCTTGTCGCCTTTATGAGGGAAAGAAATTGGAGCTTCTACCATCACTATTCAAAGTTCCTGAGCACAACATGCAAATAAACATGGATGTTGTTCTGGCAGCTTTCTATCTCATGAGCAGTAATACACCCCTACACTTTCAATGCCTTGCTTCCGTTTCTCTTTTGTATTATTGTATTATTTTTCTTCTTGAGCTTCTTAGAAGTAAACACAGGTACAATTCCTGTTTCAGTAGATGTGAAGCTGGAAAAGCACAGCAGGTCAGACAGTATCTGAGGAGCAGGAAAGTCCCTGTTTCAGGCCAAAACCCTTCTTCAGACCTGATGAATGGTTTTAGCCCGAAACATTGACTTTTCTGCTCGGATGCTGTCAGACCTGCTGTGCTTTTCCAGCCTCAATCTATTGACTCTGGCTTCCAGCACCTGCAGTCATTACTGTCTACAATTCCTGTTTGACTAAAATAGACCACTGAATAGATACATCTCATTAACCTCTGTTGAGAAAACGTTGCTAAGATGCAGAGCTCATTGACTCCAAGTGTTTTTATGGATCCTGCTCAAATTTGACCAGTTCGAACAAACCAACTTTGCCAGCATTGATGATCCTTCTACTGGTTGACCAGTCAGAATCACCTAATCCTTGATGGCAGTGGGTTGCAAGTTGAATGGTAAATGCCCCATTCTTAGTAATTGATCTGTCTATCCCCTCTTACCCATCCAGTCTTAGAAAATAGCTGTGTTGGCTGGTCAACAAAAAAAGGTGTTGTGAAACAGATCTACTCAGCTTGAGCGATTTGCCAATTAGCTCCAATTGTTGAGTAACAGAAGTGACATCTTGGAAGAAACTTGATCCTGCTTAATGTCCTCCTGTTCCACTTGCTGCTGCTATCACTGTCTCGTTCAAAGAAGATCATCTCTACTTTGATATTAGACAATTGGTAAGCGTGTATTTAAGCCTTCATTCTTCAGGCAGCAGGTACAAGGAACTCCTTAAAATTGGTGTGGCAGACTAGAAAGCACAATGTATGACAAATGGTGAGAATGAATTATTCCTGATTAAAGTATTTACATAAAAAGTTATTCAACAGCTACAGCTGTATTTCTTCAGTATCCCTTTGCAATCCTGAGAGGTGAATTCTGAATCTTTCAGTGTGCGGTTTCATACAGGATCTCCAAGTCACTCTCCTGTAGTTCTCCCAAGTCTGCATTTCTTCATCACTTAAATGACTGTTTTTGGAAGAATAGCTACAACAGCCACTTGGAGTTTCTAATCATGTAATTTAAATGCTGTAGTCAACCATAACTATTTAGTTGGTGTGCACATGTAAGGCCTATTACAAAGGGCACACCTGCTGTCAGATTATTTCGCCTCCATGGTGCTTGTTGTGCAGATCAGAGTTTTCTCTTTCTGTGACTTGAATTTTCTTTTTGCCTGAATGCTTGCACTTTGGTGAAAGGAAATGTCAAAATTGTATGGTTGGTTATAAACCATGAAAAAAATGTTTGGATATGTTGTTTAAGCAGCAACATGCATTAGAACCTTGCTGAGATTGAAGATTGAGAAAGATTTTGCCCCTTGTTCAATGTGATTCCAAAAGGTTCTGTCTAGTTGACATCTGCCAGGATCCCAGCTAGTAGTAGGAGTGAACATTTGGGATAATCATCCTTTGTGCTTCCACTAAGTTGCTAATACATTTCTCTCTTAAGCTGTCAAAAGTTGTAGCACTTTACTTATAATTCTCTTTAACATACTCATCTATTATTTAAACCAATATTGGCAATATCTATGAAAAATAGTGCCAGGATTTTATCAGAAATGTCTATAATTGATGAAAATATTGAATCGATGAGTGAATATGAATACTTTTACTCTACTACTCTCTAAAGAACATTGAGTTGCTCTTTCTATTCCTTTGTAGATTTTGGCACTGGAACACGTTTTCTGAATGAAATCCAAAATACTGTCATGCACTCCAATAGCTTTCTGCTTTCGTTTTTGAGCACCAAACCAAAAGACATAAGGAAATCAGTGGAAAAAATCTAAGTGGATTTCCCTGACCCTTGCAGTGATATATGATAAAGCCATAACCTCAGGAGAGAAAAATTATTTATTTTTTCCCCTTTCTGATTACATTTCAGGTTTTTAAAGTGCCCAGTATTTATGCTACAGGAACCCTAAGTCACGCTTTAAGAGCTCACTAACAATTAAATTCTTCTGGCTTTTGGTCCCACCAGAATCTCTTTATGATTATTTTTGTCAACAGCAGTAAGCTTTCAGAAAATTGTTATAGAGTCAAAGAAATTTATTTTTCCTTTCTATCAACATGGCAAGATTTCCTAAAGGATTAAATCTTTATGGTGCAATCAAAACAAAAGACCACAATGTACTCACGGAAATCAGCAAAATCTTTTACAGTGACCTTTTTAATCTGATTAAAGCGTGCATAAAGGTATGATGTCTCTTTTGGCAGCATTGGAATGGCATCAATGTTGGTCTCATCACAATACACAGAACCAGTTAGGCAAACACACAAAAGGCAAGTTGGCATATCTGAAATGTAGAAAATTTATATTAGTAGGACTTTGATCACATGAATGCAATACAATTCATTTCAGTAGCCACTTTGACACATTGTCTGTGAGACCTGATCTGCTTCTAGATTCTTTCTGATCATGTGTCTGATCAGAGTTCTTTGATTTGATCTGCAGCCACTTCCTCAGGTCTGTGGAGGATTGAAGAGTCTAATAAAGATTGTTATAACTGCTATTGTCAGCATTCTAGAAATTAATTCATATTGTAACAACCTGTATACTTTCAATGCCTTCATCTTTGGAATGCATATGTTATAAAATTGGGCAAATCAATCTGCAAGATTGAGATTTGTGAAATTATGATATTTTTATTATTGTTAGTATAACAAAAGGCAAATCCACCTTCGAAAAGATTCTGATGAGGAAACTGTGTACTTGGCTATGTGCCAAATTCAGTTCCAACACTGGCTGTATGGAATAATGTATCTCACTTGAACTTTAGTGTTATGTCAGAAAGTATGATGTTTTTCAGAAAACAAATTTGGACAAAAAAACAAAGTGTAAATGAAAGAAGAATTCCAATTGTGCATCAAGCTTTTGAGGCAACTGTAGGAATTTGATTTTTTTTTAAAATCTATTGTAAATGTAATTTCAGTCTAACCAACGATTAAAATGTTATTTTACATTCATGCAAGTAGAATTGAAAAGTATAAGTTAGCAACTTTGTTCACCAGAAAAGCTTACATTATAAGTGTTATTATTTTTTTGAAATGTAGAGAAATAACTTCTCAATGAAATCAATCGCAAGTTAAAACAGTGTCATCTAATTGTCTGCCTTTTCTTACTTGCAACTGTACTGATTCCTGCAAGGGTATTATTTAAACGAAATAGCTACATATGAAGTAACAGAGAGAAAATAAGTTCATACGAACCAACGGGTGGACCTTCTGCTTCTGGTTCTTCTGTTGGAGACCTGATAAACCGTAAATGTTCTATTTCATGGTTTGTGTCGGCATCACCAAATGTGGGAATGGCCTTTTCTTCTAGCTTTCAATAAAAAAAAGATTTGTTTGTTTTTGATCAAATTTGCAATTCTGTTTTGCGTATGTGTCCAATTACGCCAATAACAGGCTGCATGCTGATTATACCCTAAACACCACAGCATGTTCCCTCTTAAAATTTTGGAGAAGATTTGTAGCTCAGGTTGCGGATGAGATTGTAGACATGCTCGCTGAGCCAGTGGGTTTGGTCGCAAATTTTTTGTCACCCTGCTAGGTAACATCAATTGTGTGCCTTCAGTGAAGTGTCAGTGTTTTATCCTGCTTGTTATTTATATGCATCGGTTTGCTGGAGTGGTTGGTATTACTTCTGGTTTTATTTCTCAGTGGTTTGTACGCAAGGCCTAATTCAATGTGCTTGTTGATGGAGTTCCGGTTGGAATACCAGGCCTCCAGGAATTCCCTGGTGTGTCTCTGTTCAGCTTGTGCGATTATGGATGTGTTGTCCCAGTCAAATTCGTGTCCAAAAGTAACTTTGGGTCCGATATGTAGATGACCCCTTTGTGATTATTAAACACACAAAACTAGAAGAAACCCACCGACACACAAACAACATCGTCACTGGGATAAAATTCACAAAAGAAGAGGAGAACAACTGACTACCCTTCCTGGACATAATGGTGCAATGCAAAAACAACGGGGAACTCCAGACTAGTGTATACAGAAAGACCACACATATGGACCATATACTCCATTACACTAGCCCACAAATGGAGCTGCATCAGAATATTATTTAAATGAACCACAATGCATTGCAGCAACCTGGAACTGCGCAAAGTAGAACAGGAGCAGAGTCTTCAAAAGAAATGGATACCCGAAAAACACAATTTGCCATTACCTCCAAGACAAACCACAACAAGAAGACACAATACGACCAGACTCACTAATCCCCCTGTCAGACATCAAGGACATTTCAGAGATGATCACAAGACTATTCAGACCCCGAGGTATCAGAGTAGCCCACAAACCCGACAACCACCCTACGACAGCTACTGACAAATGTAAAGGATCCCATACCCAAAACCAGCAAAACTGGGGTAATATATAAAATACCATGCAAGGCCTGTGAGTAACACTACACAGGCCAAACTGGAAGAAAATTGACAATACAGATACATGAACACCAACTAGCCACCAAGAAACGTGACCAATTCTCACTTGTCTCACTACGCACGGTCAGCGAGGGGCACGAATTCGACTGGGACAACACATCCATAATCATACAAGCTGAACAATGACACGCCAAGAATTCCTGGAGGCCTGGTATTCCAACCAGAACTCCACCAACAAACAAGTTGAATTATACACTGTGCACAAACCACTCAGAAACAAAACCAGAAGTAATACCAATTACCCCAGCAGACCAACGCAAATAGATAACAAGCGGGACAGAACACCGTCGCTTCACCAGAGGCGCATTGAATATGTTACCTAGCAGGGTGACAAAACGTTTGGAGCCAAACCCATTGGCTCAGCAAGCATGTCTACAACCTCATGTTCCCTCTGTAAATCCATTTCGTGTTTTGTTACTGTTTGTCTGTACCACTGTCACAGAGATTATACATTATACACTAAGTCCTGTGATGTCACAGTCCATTCTGCATAATTATCTTCTTTGTTATTATTTTCTTTCTATTGTGTAACTAATCATGTAATTGTTTTAAGTTTCAAGTAATAAATGTTCTTGTTTTCATCAGTCCTTTGAGTATAGGAGTTGGGAAGTCATGTTGAGGTTGTACGGGAAATTGGTGAGGCCAGTTCTGGTGGTCCAGTTATAGAAAGCATATTATTAAGCTGGAGGGGGTTCAGAAGAGATTTACCAGGATTTTGCCAAGTATGGAAGGTTTGAGTTATAAAGAAAGACTGGATAGGCTGGGATGTTTTTCACTGGAGTGTAGTAGGCTGAGAGGCGACCTGATACAAGTTTATAAAATAATGAAAGGTTTAGATAGGGTTAATGTAGTTGTCTTTTCCCTTGGATGGGGGATTTCAAGACTAGGGGGCACAATTTTAAACTGAGAGGAGAGAGATTGAAAACAAACATGAGGGGTAAATTTTTTTACACAAAGGGTGGTTCGTGTGTGGAATGAACTTCCTGAAGAAGTGGTGGACGTGGGTACGATAATAAAGTTTAAAAGACATTTGGATAAGAACGTAGGAAAGGTTTGGAGGGATATGGGCCAGGAGCAAGCTGGTGGGAATAGTTTAGTTTGGGATTATGTTCGGCATGGACTGGTTGGATCAAAGGATCCGTTTCCGTGCTGTGTGACTCTGTGAATTTATGACCCTAAGGACCTGTCTCCTGGGCTATTGGTCATATTGACTTTCATGACACTACTCACTGAGGCTTAGATTACACCTTAGTTTGCTCCTGATTTCCCTGTCTCAATGACTAAGTTCTGCCTTGTCCGTTGCGGAGCAGATAAGGTAACAAAACACATTACCAAGCTTCATGTATTAATGTGAGATCATTTGAATCATCATTTTGGGATTGAGAGACATAATAGTGAAAAATAATCTCCATATTAATAGATCTAGCAACACCACAGAATTTGAAGATTGTTTCTTTTGGCAACATTAACATTTCTTCTTGAGATTTCTAAGGCAGCTGCTGAACTTGCTGGGACAGTGCAAAATTTCTACCAACTGTGATGATTTCAGTGTTGCACAGCATCTGAGTGCAGCACTGTTTAGATTATTCCACATTTTTGTCATTAATAAGATAGGCTGAAACAATGTAAGCAAGATGTAGAATGAGTGGTTGTATTATGAATCAGCTACAAAATCAATAAAAACATTGCACAAGTACTAATAGCATGCTTGTTATCTGTGCCAGAGAAAGTGTGCTTCAAGTTGTTTTGCTACTTGGGTCTTAACCGATGAACAGAAAAATGAGACAGGAAAGAAATCAAAGAATTTGAAGACACAGTTTGAACCCTATGGTATGTGTTCAACATCAGAGTTCAGGGGAGTCGGAGAATGTTGTTCGGTATGCGGTACTGACACATCTAGTTGAATCCTAAGAGTTTGGACAAATACAAAAATGTTCTCATTGTAGGTAGGATTGTCTTAAATACAAGAGATCCTGTTGTGAAAGCACATCTACTGAGAGAGGAGAAACTTACTCTCAAGAAAGTTATTACGTGTGGAGAAGCTCTAAGGTGTCCTTCATCAGCTAGTGCATATTAATAGGTGAACCAATGAGATTTGGACAATGGTTAAACATATTCTAAACTGAATGGGAATAACAGAATGGAAAATAAGTTTTTTTTGTTGCAAAAAGATCAGCAGAAAGATCAAGGCCAGGGGACATGACTTAAATATTGTGGAGAACACCTCATAAAATAAAAGAAAGCATGTTCAGCATGGGGAAAGCATATCCCTTGCTGCAAGAAATTAAATCACTGTGCACACAAGTGTTTCACTAGAAAATACAAAAGTGAAACTATGGAGATAGCTGCTGGAGAGATGCCAGCTGATGATTCAAACAAATCGCTCTACACCATACGACAGTTTGGCATTGTCAGGTCCAAAGGTGATAAATGATTTGTGACTATTAGGGACATCTGCAGAACATTCAGACAATGTGAAAGATTAGATAGGCATCAGTGCATTGCACAATATCAAGTATTTCATAGAAGGCTAAACATAAAAGAGAAAAGGCACATTAATTCAGATGGAGATGATGGGTCTATTAAGAATTTCAAGTAAAACTTCATCTAGAAAATGGATAAAATGTTGAATTTGCACAGCACATATGTTGAAGATATAGCTGGGAGAGAGAAAGAATAAAATATTCCAACTGGGTAAATGAAGTTGGGTGGTACTATAGAACAGTTCTTGTGACAGAAATTACATGTGATTCTGAAGCTTGGGTCATTCTTGAACGAATTGGCTTTGATTCACAAAATGAATGACATGACCTGTTTTATTGAAGCGTTAAAAAGAATGAATAATGGAAATATTAATATTGCACTCAAACTAAATTAAACAAATCATTATTACAGGGTATATTACCAGGGATTCATTATGTGAACTACATTTTTTTTGTTATGGAGGAGATAACATAGCATTTGTTGATGGGTATCATAATTCAGAAAGTCACTAATTCTGATTGAGGCCATTGTGTATATGCCATCTCTCCTTGAGGTGCTTGCCTTTACTAAGTACCCAGAAAGCTTAATAGTTTTGTTCTTTCACTCAATACATGATATTGAAGCTATATGTAACTATTTCACCTCCTGCAGAAGAATGTCTAGTTAAAAATGGCTTGGTGACTAAAGATAAGATTGCTGAGTAGAATATTAAAATACATAATTGTCTGAGACTCTGTGCCTTCTTTTCTAATCTTTTGAAAAGAATCAAGTTAAAAATATATTTTTAGGGTTTTTAATATTTATTATCTGTCCATGTTATTATGTTTCGATATTTTCTGTTTGCAATGTTAATGAATCAGTTGGGGATAGATACAATTATCACCTAAAAATATTGAAACAAAAATAGTTTGATTGCTGTGTTATTTTAGCACAGAAATTCTTTATAATCTTAAACAAAGGCTCATGAATTATTCCAATAGCTTATTTATGCTCATAAACAAACTTAGCACCTATTGTATGCAAGGGACTTGATAAAAGCACATGGATGTGTCTTATTAAAGAGACTATCAGCTATTGGAACTCATTTAATTCATTCAATTAGTAGAACAAGGGATTAAGTATTGTATAACTTTATGTGCATTTATACCATTGAATGATCAGTCATTGGTAGATGGCTAATTTTCAGAACTTTCTCACTGAGTCACTCTGACAAATTAATTTGTAAATGTATTATTATGTACCATTTTATAGCTTTCTGGTTTTGCTGTCTTTCGTAATTCCTTTCTTAAGGGCAGACTTTACATTATAATTTCATTCAGTCACTCTTTGAAGCATCTTGTTATTCATGAACTTAGTAAATAATTTCAAAGCAATTATATTTAATTTTGCAATTCAAACTCAGTTAATCTTTTATATCTACTTTATCAGCATCTTAAGATTCTAGATGTCCTCCTGCACTTGTGATTAAATGCATGATACTATTAATGTCATTACTGCTGGTTTCATGTGTTATCTTCATATGAATTTCAAATTTAAATGAGAGTTTCTTATAAAATATGATTAAATTTGGTAGGCAAATAATGAATGTTAAACCACATTACCTTTGCTTGTTTTATTTCTTGTGGCTCATCTTCATATTCGTAACTTGTGCCTGCACCAAACGATTCCACTTCCAAATCATGTACGAGAAATTTATCTTCCTTGTTAGCTGGTGCAGTGAATACTAGTTCTCCAAATATGAATACAAAAACTATAGGGCACACACAATTCATTTTGGATGGAAGACCAAGAAAAATAAGTTCTGAGAAAATTTGAAAAGCTCGAATACTGGATCGAACAGTGCCTTGCTGCCTAGGCGTAGAACTGTCAAATTGGTATTTAAAGCTTTCACCAGCTGTTGCCAGAAATTTCAGAAGAATGAGACTGCGTGATGTGCCTTAACCCCTGAAGTCCTTTATAATTGCAGTTAGAATTGCAGTCGCGGTTTCTAAAACTCCAAGGCAATTTCTTAATACAAAAGATTTGTTTTGCTAATACCTAAAAAAAATTCCTGTATTTAATGTTTCAGTACTTTTGGAAATGTGCTTTATAATTAACCCATTTCAACAGTATTTATTATACTTACTGATTTAAGTCTATTTTGATCACGTAACTTGAGTAATATTTGAGCTGATTTAGATTTTAGGACAACTGACACGGAGAAAGTGTTTAATGCCTGCAATTATGAGATCCCAATACATTTGAATTTATAGAGTAAACTGTAAATGCCAAACAGGCACTAAGTGCAGCTCACTACATGTTGACATCCAAAATGTTGGCTGTCTGGAATGCCAGCAGAGGCCACAAGTAAGTTTGCAAAGTAGTAGGTAAATGCTATTTTGATAGAGCTTGATGAGGCCAGGACAGCCCGTCGGTGGACCTGCATTATTTTTGTGGAGGCAGGCGGAACTCTTCTGTGACTTCTGTATCTCTGCAGCTTCCAAAATATATTTTTTCCAAGATTGTCTGGCCATTTCCTGTTTTGAACCCCTGTAAAGCATGTCCTTCACTAAAACCTTCATTTGAATAAGAAAGGGCGTTACTGATTGTCCTGCACAGACACTTTGGCGACCTGGTAGTAAACTATTTTAAAGTTCAATGTATCTAAAACAGAGTAAACAATTAAAATTTATAATTTTGAGACATATGACAGGCTTTGTGCTGTTAAACTTTTGTCAGCCAGTATGCAATATTTCATTTTGGGATTTGTATTTATTACATCTGCTCAAACTTTAAGTTGAAGTCCTAGATTAGCTGGAAAAGATTGCGAAATGGTTTTGGCAATGAGAAGTACAGAAATTTCTCGATTACATTTTTGCCAAGTTCAAAATGGTTTTTAAAAAAAGCAGTGGTCTGTCTTAATAATAAATTGGTTCCATATTGTATCATACCTGCTTTTCCAGACTACTGTGTACTAAAGCATTATAAATAGTTAATTATTGAAACAGAATGTAGTATTTTCCTCTAATATCTAAGAATTCAAACCATACTCAAAGAATTCTATTTATACAGGTTTAGTATATTGGAAAAGTTACGATTACAATAACACACAGAGCTATAAATTATCCTTCCATTTTGTGAATGCTTTGGGCCTCTGGGTTTTCTGCTTTTCAAATTAAGTAGAGTCAGGCAGGCTGACACATGTCTTTTCCATCAAGTACATAAGAAATGTAGTAAAATAGTGAAGAGTCTTTTTGAATTTTCAGTTGGGAAAGTCAAAGCTAGCTTTTTACATTTGACACACTGTTATATTGACTTGTTGTAAAGTTGTTTTCATTTAGTTTTTCACAAAACTAAGTTCAAGAAAAGTACAAAACACAGCCAAATGGTGCTCTAGTATGTTTCACAACTGAAATATTTTGGCTTATAAAATGCTGTTGATTTTTATTTTGAAGTTGTATATTGAAGGAAGGAATTTAAGATGCATTGTCTACAACTGGCAATCTCACTCAGGACTAAAAGCCGAGAAAATAACGCACATTTATAGAGTAGAAATGTTCTATTTAAGCACTGGGTTGCAGGCATTTTGTTGTAATATTTTAAAGGCCAAGTTTATTTTATCATGAACAGTTATCAGCTTGAGTTAGTGATTTCTCATCTGAGGCATTGGGTTATAGATTCACCTCATACTTCAATACTCAAGCATTTAATCTAGGTGGTCATTTTAGCGCATTGTAGGGTGTAGAATTTGAGATGATACAATAACTGGTGTCTCGTTTGGATATTCAGGTGCATATAAATGATCCATTTTTGCAGGGAACGCGTTAGTTTTCCTCATCTCGCAGGCAATTTTTATTTCTAAGGCAATAATGTTAATCTCATTGCGGTTGTGGGACCTTGCTGCATGCAAAATGGCTGTACTGTTTGCTTCGAAAGCAGCGACTATATTTCAAAAAGTAGTTCATTGGCTGTGAAATGCTTTGAGATTTCCTATGGGTTCTGATTGGCACTGTATAAATACAATGCAGATTAACAGCTAAGGTCTTCAATTTCCTTGTAGATTTTTCATAGTGTTGTATTATAGAACATAACAAGGGCAGACGAGAACTGCTTTAATAAATATTTAAACTTACAACTCACAGAGACAGAGATTTCTGACCCAACGTTTAATTTATTTTTCTAAAGATGCAAAAGTACTATGTGTAATTAAGTAGTATTTGCATGCTTTTTATTTTTATTGTTCATATGTTTAGGGATTTAGAAAAGACCAAGAGATATATTAAACTTCTGAAAAAGAACTTTTCTGTATGTTTGTCAAATATCGTTGCAGCAGAACTTAGCAAAAGCGACAAACTGTGCACAGACTTGGTACCCAGATGTAAGTCATTCATATGGATTGTGAGTAAGCCGAGGCCCAAGCACTGAGCTCGCAGTACCTCTGCGAATGACCACAATCCCATCTTTTCTAATTTCTTATGCGGGGCTGTTGGACTTTTTGGATTTATTACTGCAGTTACCTAGAATAAGCAGTTGATCATTCATAAGGAATTTTCAGATAATTTATTAAGTAGCAGGTTAGATACGATACGTTAGTCAATTAGACAAAAAAAGTATATGATCTGAAACAGATTCAAGTGGAGAAGGGAGCTGAAAAGCTTCTTTGCATCTTCCTCCCTTCCTGGTCCATCTTTCACCTAAAAGGAGGTAGCTGAGTGATGAGCACTACCACCTGATAAGAATTGTCCTCTGACTCTGAGCACTTGTTGACATACCCTGTTTTTGAGGGCTGGCAATCGACGCTCAATCACTTATCTAAATCTTTTCAACTAATGAGCATGGGACAGCTACACACTGTATTTAAAATGACTATTGACCCTTGCCTACCTTCATTAAAAGGTTAGTTTTTATCCCTTTTGAGATCAAAACTTTTATTTTCCTAATTACTACATACATAATTGGGTGGATATGGCACCAGGTAATTATTTGATGTCAATTGATGGAACATATCAAGCTCAATGATATTAATTGTCATCTTCCTTTTGTTCTTGTTTGTTAGCAATTGCTTATGCTTGGGGAAAGGAGGTAACTGCTGCAGCAGTTCACTATGTCTCTCACTATGCTAAAATACTAGAAAATTCAATTTAAAACAAGACACCAATCTCCAACAGTGTGTTGTTGAAAACCTTCTGAAAAGCCAAAAACACCACAGCACTTGTTCCCCCTAACAATTCATTTAATCACATCCTTGAATTCCAACATGATTGTCAAACATGATATCCCTTTCATATATTACTGGACAAAGTCAACATGAATTTCATTTGTTTTCTAACTGTTGAGTTATCAAATTCTTCATAACTGATTCTAGAATTTTCCCTCCTAACGTCAATCAAATTCTCCATTTTCCCTGCTTCTCCTTTCAAGTAGTAAGGTGACATTTGCTGCATTCTAATCTGCAGAAACTAGTCCAGGCTTTTCAGAATTTTGAATGATGACCATCAATGTATTTACTGTCTCTAAAATAATCTGGTGTGTAGATAATCCAGTCAGGCGATTCATCAACTTTCGTCTCATTAATTTCTCCAGTGCTACATTTGTTTCTCAATTCTAATTTCTTTCAGTTTCATACTAACACTGGGCGAGTTAGTATTGCTGGTTCTCCAGTTTTTCTGGGAGACTTTTTTTTATCTTCGTTGATGAAGATCAATGCAAAATACATATTTAGTTTCTCTGTCACTTCCTTGTTTCCCATTTCAAAATCTCCCTGTCTCTACAAGAAGTGGGCCTACATTTTCCATTGCTAATCTTTGCATGCCTAGAGAAGCTTTTACTGTCTCTTTTTAATGTTTATCACTAGTTGTCTCTCATATTCTTTTTTCCCTTTTTTTTATCAGTTTCTTGGTTCTCCTTTACTAAATTTTAAAATGATCCCAATTTTCAGTTTTCCTTTGGCAATCCTCCTTCCTTTGATGTAATAAAATCTCCAGAGTCTCCTGTTAGTCCCAGTTGGACCACTTTTCCTGTTGAGCTTTTTCTGTCTCAAAGGAATTATTTTTGTTGTAAACTATATATTAATGCATCATAATATATCATTTGCAAACTAACATGGTAATTAAATAGAGATAGTAGGAACTGCCGATGCTGGAGAATCTGAGATAACAAGGTGTAGAGCTGGATGAACACAGCAGGCCACGCAGCATCAGAGGAGCAGGAAAGCTGATGTTTTGGGTCGAGACCCTTCTTCAGAAATGGGGGAGGGGAAGGGGAAATAAATAGGGAGAGAGGAGGAGGCGGATAGAAGATGGATTAAGGAGAAGATAGGTGGAGAGGAGACAGACAGGTCAAAGATGTGGGGTTGGAGCCAGTAAAGGTGAATGTAGGTGGGGAGTTAGGGAGGGGATAGGTTGGTCCAGGGAGGACGGACAGGTCAAGGAGGCGGGATGGGGTTAGTGGGTAGGAGATGGGGGTGGGGCTTGAGGTGGGAGGAATGGTTAGGGAGGCGGGGACGAGCTGGGCTGGTTTTGGGATGCGGTTGGGGGAGGGGAGATTTTGAAGCTTGTGAAGTCCACATTGATACCCTTGGGCTGCAGGTTTCCCAAGCAAAATATGAGATGCTGTTCCTGCAGCTTTCGGGTGGCATCATTGTGGCAATGCAGGAGGCCCAGGATGGACATGTTGTCTGAGGAATGGGAGGGGGCATTGAAATGGTTCGCGGCTGGGAGGTGTAGTTGTATGTTGCGAACCGAGCGTAGGTGTTCTGCAAAACAGTCCCCAAGCCTCTGCTTGGTTTCCCTGATGTAGAGGAGGCCACAACGGGAACAGCGGATACAGTATACCACATTAGCAGATGTGCAGGTAAACATCTGTTTGATGTGGAAGGCCTTCTTAGGGCCTGGGATGGGGCTGAGGGAGGAGGTGTAGGG